TTCATTTTCGGAGAAATTGCGACGACCCTGGTAGTGTATCTGTGGAATACTGTACCCGCACCGTGGAAGGAACATGGAGACAAAGTAAAGAATTTGGCATACTCACTCACTCTGCTTTTGTTTATCCTGGAGAACTTATATCTTTTCGTGTTGATTTCCACGCAAGCAGCTTTCCAAGTAACCGGTGTGAATAACTTTCATCGAAAACCATCCGCCCTTCAGGCAGTTACTATTGTGGTTAATGCTGCAGAAGCCACCTTTTATTACGCCATGATGAAATTCTTTTGGAACAAATGGTTTGATGATCGAAGAAATCTTCTGATCAATGATAATGTTTGAGTATTGTACTTGGATCGTTCACGGGTGGTTGACGTTAAGAATTAAGGCTAATGCAGTTGGTCGACAAAACAGTAAATAAGGCGCGATTTATGAGCCGAGCTTTTCATGAGCCAAACTTAATTAGAACCGACTAAGAGATTATAAACCAGTTTACAATCTCTCGCAACCGACTCAAATCGAAAATAAGAGGGGGCCTGTTCATTCAGAAGCCGACATTTATTACCTATAATAACTAATGCATTTGGTAAGAAGCCGAACTCGTTCTCTATACAATAGAATACAATATGTACATGTATATATATAAAATATCTGCGTATCATCTGCATTGGCATGCGGACAAACTGTTGTGTTTGATTATATGGACGAGGTTGTTCATGAATATGTTAAATATCAAAGGACCTAGGACGCTTCCTTGTGGAATTCTTGCCACAATTCCTTGCCAGTTTGAGAACTGATGCTCTAATCTAACCCGTTGACGTAGATTTGTAAGATAATCCATAATCAATTTTCAAGAATATTGTTTAAATAAATAGACCCCTCGTCCCGAGTTAAAGGTATTTCGCGGGCTAGTCTGGGCCCTGTAGTTGAAAAATGTTCGTTAAAGGCGTTGGAAATCTGGCGAGAGTCACGGATAGAGATATCATTCACTTTCATTTCCTTTACTATCTGGTTGTTCTGACGACGACACACGAGATTGTTAATGGTTCTCCAAGTCTTTCGAGCATTTCCTTCGGATTGAATAAAACTATTTTGATAATAGGATGCCTTAGTGGTTTTCGCTTCATTGTTGATTCAATTTCGGAGCTTTCTGCAATTGGCCCAGTCTTGAAGGTTTTGTTGTTATCGCTTTCCTTTTAGCGCACACCTTTCTTCAAGGCTGAATTAATCCAGGGTGTTTTGTATAATTTTCGAAAATTTCTGTAAGAGATGGGAAATATGGTAAATCAGAGGATAGTCTTCGATAAACATAGACGACGCTATGATCACTGATGGCAATGTTGGAGACTTCGGAACAGCCTACCCTGTCTGTATCATTTGTATAGATCAAATCAATTAGTGTAGATGAGAATTTTGTAACACGCGTTGGTTCATTTATTAGCTGTTTGAGCCCATATAAAATAAACAGCGAACATTTCGGATTGGGTACGAAAATCTTTAATTTCCGAAATGGTCGCCATGTTGTGACGTCACATAGTTATCACATCTGATAACTATCCCGGACTGTCCATTCGTAAGGAAAGGAAACTAGACGAGCCGTATGTGGAACTACTGACATACATTCCGTACTTTAAGACTGCCGCACCAAAAGACACTTAGCTCAATGCGGCTGAATGCAAATACAGTTATCCTACTGAAAGCGAGATGTCACAGTGCATCAATTCATTTATGGTATCGTGAGCTTTTCATTATTTATGGTTGTGATTGACATATGTATGTCACCTGCTGGCATGTGCAAATTCCTCGTCAAATCTTTACGGTGTGTGGGCGTGGCTCAAAAGACTATCAGCTGTCATACAGGTCAT